ACTACATAGTTACGATGAGGAAGGTTGCCTCTTCCCACATTGTGAATTTCATGACCCCAGGGTCAGGAGTTCTGGTGTTGGGGCGGGACTCTATTGATTATATAGTGAAAATGCATTAATTCTTTGAAAATCTGCTTTTCTCCTGGGTATTAAATAAAGTTACTTAGTACATAATTATGATGAGCAAGAGAGCCTATTCCAAAATTGTGAATTTCATGACCCCAGGATCAGGAGTTCTGGTGTTAGGGCGGGGCTCTATGGATTATATAGTTAAAATGCATTAATTCTTTGAAAATCTTCTTCTCTGCTCCTGGGTATTAAATAAACTTACTAAGTACATAGTTATGATGAGGAAGGTTGCCTCTTCCCAAATTGTGAATTTCATGGCCCCAGGGTCAGGGGTTCTGGTGTAAGGGCGGGGCTCTATTGATTATATAGTGAAAATGCACTAATTCTTTGAAAATCTTCTTCTCTGCTCCTGGGTATTAAATAAAGTAACTAAGTACATAGTTATGATGAGCAAGAGTGCCTCTTCCAAAATTGTGAATTTTATTCCACAAGGTAAGGGGTTCTGGTGTTAAGGCGGGGCTCTATTGATTATATAGTGAAAATGCAATAATTCTTTGAAAATCTTCTTCTTTGCTCCTGTGTATTAAATAAAGTAACTAAGTACATAGTTATGATGAGCAAGAAAGCCTCTTCCAAAATTGTTAATTTCATGGCCCCACGGTCAGGGGTTTTGGTGTTAGAGCGGGGCTCTATTGATTATATAGTGAAAATGCATTAATTCTTTGAAAATCTTCTTCTCTGCTCCTTGGTATTAAATAATGTAACTAAGTACATAGTTATGATGAGCAAGACAGCCTCTTCCCAAATTGTGAATTTCATGGCCCCAGGGTCATGGGTTCTTTTGTAAGGGCGGGGCTTCATTTAATAATATAGTGAAAATGTAATGTCTTTCAAAATATTTTTTTCTACTACTGGTTATAAAGCAAAGAAACAAGTGTATAAATATGATGAGCAAGGGTGCTTCCTCCAGAATTGTGAGTTCATGGCCCCTGGGTCAGATGTTCTGGTGTAAGGGTGGGGCTTTATTTATTTAATAATATAGTGAAAATGCATTTCTTTGAAAATCTTCTTTGCTTCTGGTCATATTTGAGGCAAACAGAGTAGAAGTTTTAATATGCAAAGGTATTTTTACCAGATTTTTGAATACCTGGACCATTTAGTCAAGTGTTCTGGTCCTGGCCAGGGCTCTATTAACTTGTATTCTGCTGAGCAAAGTTATTCCCCTTTGCCATTCACCATTGATAATTAATCACTGTAAACAATGTATTTAAAAGGTAAATAGAATACGAGAATTATGCAAGAATATTTATTGTATAATACAAAAAGTAATTTCATAGTTTTAATGATTAGGTAGACTTGGAAATAATAGATGAATAAAAATGAGACAAAAATAACTTATCTTTTTGAATGTTCTTCAAAGGCAAAGAGAGGCCAATGTGAGAAGTAATAATATGGGGTTAAAAAATAGATATTTTGTTAAATAGTCTGCATGATAATAGTGATAAATGGGGAACAAATAGATTCTAGACCAATTGTTTTGTTGATGCCTATCATACCATTTTTCTTGCTTTTGGGCAGCATAGCTTCATTGATCAGTTTATGGATCCTCTAAATTGTTGTATTGTACTCAGGTGACCGTTAAGGCCCTTGGGCCTCTTGTATTTCCCGAGAGAGAGGGGGGGGGGGATAATTATTCCTCTTTTTCAGATTTACAATGTAATTTACAGAAGGTTCACTAGATCTTGATGATTATAATAATATGAATAATTTGGGACTCCTGTTGAACATGAAATGGACACTGTATGATAAAAATATTGATACATGTAAATAAGACTCCCCCCCCCCCCCCTTCCTAATTTTCAGAACTAAAATATTTCTTAGGGTGAAGAGAGAAGACTAAAGGAACAAAAAACAGATTTTTTTTAATTCCATATGAATTGTTCAACTGCATCAATGATATTAAAACAATTGGAATTTTTAAAAATAAGGTTCATCCCCCTTTTCCTGCAACAAATATATATATATACCTATGCTCTCATGCTAATAACATAATTGGATTATGAATGCTTACATTAGAATAAAACCATATTAAATCATAAGAATAATGTATTTAATAATTTTTATACGAACAAATTGTTCACTTGATAAAAACTGTGTTCTACACCCCCCCCCCCGTCTTTTTCCATATTTTTTAACACTATATATCAACATCGTACATAGCTTGTAATATCATTTCATCACTTTACAGTGTTTTTTAAATTATTGAATAATCTACTTGAAATTTCAAAATTAATTTTTAACACAATGAGAAAAAACTAAGTCCAAATTAGATACATAAAAAGTACATCCTTATTTTACTGATTTTGCCAAAAAAAGTTTAATTCCCAGAAAAGTACATTTTAAGTACAGTGAAAAAAGACTAAGTCCAAATTAGGTACAAAAATAGTACTGTGGAAAAAAACTTAGTCCTAAAAAGTACAAAAAAGTACTGTGAAAAAAAAAGTCCAAATAAAATACAAAAAGAGGTCATCAGCTTTCAGAGGCAATCTGGCCCAGTACAAAAAAAGTATACTTTTTCTGACCTTTTTCTAAAAAGCACAAATTTATATAGTAGAAAAGTAGCATTAAAGTATACTTTTTGTACTTTATTTTGGTATGGGATATCCTTAAAATTCCTTTAAAAATGGCCAAAAGTTGAAGTATTTTTTCAATATTTCATATAGATCACAACCTCTGATCCAAAATATGCAATAACATAATGAAAGATCTGTTTCTGAAGATCATTTACCAAGTTTTAATTTTTGGATTGAGGGATGTGTTCATATTTTAATTCTTTGTTGAAATTAGTCAAATACGCCTGTTTTCTGCAAAATTCAAGAACATTGCATCTTCACAAAGCCTGCATTCCAATACCTGGATTCTCAAAAATAAATTTTTCTATGGGAAATGAGAGCACTAAGTCTCTACTTTACTTTGACGTATGAAATGGGATTGAGGGTGAAAGTCAATTAATTGATATAAGGACATGGCTATTTTATGCATAAAGTGAACCTAGCTCTTTGTCCACCGAATCAAAATTTATGCGTCTCAAGTGGTCAAGGGCACGGTTATTTCACACACTGTTTTGCATTGACTGTTGTTTGAAAGCAATTTAATAGGCAGTTTAATTTTCATTATTTACTTCGTATTAATTACAGCAATTTAATTATTTATTGAGCAATCATGTGAACAGGGCATTAGAATTTTCAAAAATGTTTCGGTAGTGCGGTTTCCAAGAAAAAACTGTTGGTACTGAGGCTACTACTGAGTACCTGAGACAGTACTGTGTAGCACCTTGATCTATACTGAGGTTTCTACTTAGAGGTTTCTACTGTCATGATATTTGATACTGAGAAGCAATTTCCTTCAACTTTTCTTTTTAGAATGCGTATATACCTTCCTTACCTACGTAATATTACTTCATTAAAATTACAAACACAAAAATTATTTGCACTTCGCTCAATATGAATGTTTAAAGAAACAAAGCAATTTTATGCAGATAACCAATCTGAGTACAACATTTCCAAAAATATACTAATCTGTAAACAGACTGAAAATGTAATCATTAGAGATGAATAAATCACCGAATTATATTGATTGAAGTTTACGTTCAAGGAATTTGTCAGCGAATACCCCCTTCCGTATGTCCTTCCGCCTCACTTTGCATTAAGCTTAGTTCAAAGCTCAGAATCAAGATATTTTTTATCAAACTTCATATGCTGATACGTATTGACAAGAACTTTTCAACTGCATCAACATTTTTGATCTTGACCTTACATTTGACCTTGACCTCACTTTTCTTAAATTAGTGTTTAGCTCAATTTTAAAGAAACCAACTGCATCAACATTTTTTGACCTTGACCTTTATTTGACCTTAACCTCACTTTTCATAAATTATTATTTAGCTCAGTTTTCCTAAAAACATTCAAGATATTATTTTATCAAACTTCATTTATTGATACATACTACCGAGAGCTATTCAACTGCTTCAACATTTTTGTTCTTGACCTTTCCTTTGACCTTGATCTTACTTTTCTTAAATTTGTGTTTAGTTCATTAAAGAAACCATTAATATGATATTTTTATCAAACTTCATATGCTAATGCATACTGATGTAAGCTTTTCAACTGCATCAATATTTTTTTTGTTCTTGGGGTTTCTTTTGACCTTCACCTTACATTTTTAAATTAGCGTTTATCTCACTTTTCAATAAACCATTCAAAATATTTTTATCAAATGTAATATGCTGATAGTGAGAGTATTAGTGAGGACTATTCAACTGCATCAAAAACTGTTGACTTAGACCTTTTCTGTGGCCTTGACCTCACTTTTCTTAATTTGCATTTTGTTTAGTTTTAAATAAACCATTTAAGATATTTTTTGTGTAAGCTGATGCACTTATCATTAATTTGATGAGAATTTTTCATCTATATCCACTTTCTTAGATTTCTGTCTCAATTTTAAAGAAACAATTCCAGATATTTTCATCAAACTTCATACACTAATACAAATTTTCATATTACATTACTAATATACCCTTGGCGGGGCATTCACATCCTATGGATATATTTCTAGTTCCATGTTGAAATAGGAACCTGAGTGTCTGTATCACACTAGCCTGCTAGTGTAAACATCAGTGTCCACTATAGAAACTTTAAATTTATTACTACTTGGGACTACCTCGGTCTACTCAGTAGTACCGCATCAGTATCACCCCGGACTTAGTACTATCTCGGTCTACTCAGTAGTACCCTCATCAGTATAACCCCAGACTTTCTCGCCGCAACTTGACACTAATTTAGGGTTTCATTGAATTCTTATTGTTTTTTCAATTGTAGCATTTACAGGCACCTGCCTTTTTTTCCATTATGATGCCCTATTTCTTCTTTTAGACTACCTAAAGTTTTGGATAACCTCAATCAAGACATTTGGAGGCACTAAGGCGCCTGTGTTCGTTATTGTCACACATACAGAAAGAAAATCTACGGATGTAAGTAATAAGGCTAATATATATATAAATGTATTTCAATTTTAATGTGCATTATAAGAATGAAGATATCACCAACAAATAGTGAGACTACAAAAATAAATTTATTTTGTTCTCTGATTTTGATTGTAGGACAAATACATTTAAGTGTGCAAATTTTAAAACTGAAATTTTAAATTTTTGAATCTGAACATTAGACTAAGACTTACAGCGTATCATAGCTGCAGTTAATTCTTTTTAACTTATTTAAGCCAAAGATTCAGTTGAGTTTTTCTGACAAAATTTCTCTATTGTCCTAAATAATGTCATTTTTACCTATCCAGAACTATAACTGAGCCAATTTCAACCAACCTTGCTAGAAAGCAAGTTGTGTAAAGGAGACTCAAATTTTTTGAAACAAAGGACAACATCTTTCAAGTGTAGATAGTTATGAAATAGTGTAAACTGGGTGGGGTAACATAAAAAAATCTTTTCAAGTCCCATTGAAACTGTAAAAGATTATCGGTGTGTGAAAATTTCCTAACATAGTGTAGAATCAAGTTTGCTCAATTATTTTCCACTGAAATAGGGATGGGCATAAGAAGGAATAAATTTTTACATGTATGCGAAATGTGGGGAAAATGTTTTGAAATCTATTCAAGAAAGGAAAGGCTATGTTTAGTAATATTAAGGGACAATCGTTTTCAGGTAATGCAGATAAAATTTGTTCAAATCATGGCCCTTATGGTGTAGTGGGGCCACAATAGGGATCAAATTTACATGGAAAAGAAATGTTCATTAGTAAGAAAAAACTTAAGAATGATTTTTTTAATCTTGTAGTAAAGAACTCGATGGCCAGTAAAACATTAGGAAGCTTTGTGGCCCATGTGCTCAAGTAGTATTTTTAAGCTACTGTACAGTGTATTCATCTTTTTAGGAAATAGAGAAATACTTTGAAGAGTTCTGGAATGCTGTACCAGAAGAGGACAGAGATTGGTTAAGTGAGTCTCTGAATGATCGTAATTATGCCGTGGGTCTAGTTGAACTAAATGACAATACAAAGAAAATGCTAGAATCAATGAAAAAGTCCATAGTCGAACTATTTTCGGACGAGGTCAACACAAAAATTGAAATCCCTTCTTCGTGGGCTTTAATGGAACAGTTATTATATGATGGAGCCTGGAAGGTTTTGTCTCTTGCTGAAATTTGGAGGCTCAACTCATCTCTTCCTGGTGAATACCAAATTAAAAGTGATGAGGAAATGTCTACGTTTTTAAAGTGTTTCCATGACAATGGCCTTCTTTTGTATTTTGAAGAAGAGAAACTGAGGAAACATGCAGTACTGGACATTCAATGGTTTGCTAAAGCTTTCAGCAAGATTATTGCTGATAAAAACCATGTCAATAAAGACTGCAAAACGAGATTAATCAAAGAGTGGAAATCCTTCAATAAAACGGGGGAACTGAAAGATAAAGTGATAGTTGCTTTATGGAAAGATGAACCTTTATACCTGACACACAAAAGTGAAATTATGTCGTACATGGAGAAGCTTCAAATGCTCGTACCTTTGGAGTCTTTCGGGGCTGTATCAAAAGGTGACATGTCATGGTATATCCCGTGTATGAACAAAAAGCAGTTTAAAGCTAAGTTTTGTGAAGATAAATGGGAATGCTCATCCATTTTGTGTTTTCAATTCACTTCTTTTGCCATGTTTGTGTTCTACAGACTGGTAGCATACTGCATAAGTTTTCTAAGATGGAGTGTTTCAACAGATGGAGATAAGGAAGGATGTCTATGTCTTTATCAAACAGCAGCAGTGTTTGATCACAAGGAACACACTGTTGTTGTTGGCATATGTAATGATGAAATTCAACTACAAGTGTTGCGAATCAGACCATTGGCTGTAGATAAAGAGATATCAAATGAAATTGGAGGCTCCATTGAACAGTCCATAGAAAAATTGACAGAAACATTTATTGACACAAAGATTTTCCGTAAAGGATTCAAATGCCAAAACGTTATTTGTTGTGAGAATGATCAGTCATTCACCCTTGCACGTGAACTCTCAAAAATCAAGGCTAAAGAAACGCAGTGCAAGTGTCGATTTCAGGAGAAACATGTGATAAATGTAGAAACCACTCTCGGGTTCTGGGAAAAGGTAACTATAACTTATTACACATCCCTCTCCCCAAAATAATAAAAATTGATAAAGTTTATTATGAATCATTTTGTCTGTCTGTTTGTACGTTTTTCTATATAATTATGTCTGGGCAATATTTTAAAATAAAAAAAAGAAATTGGAAGATCACAGTGCTACAGAAATCCATTATGAACTGAGTATATAATCATGACTTGATTTTGACAAAAGATCATTTTGGGTAGGTAATGATCATTGACACAGAGTGCAATATTTGAGTTGTCCTTAAATATTAAATGGATATAATTTGAAAGTTATTACCTTACACAAAGAAATGTTTATAACTAGGGAAATCCATTTCACTCAGAAAGCCTAGTCAAATAAGTGGGGGCTTCCGTTGACCAATAATTCGGTACTCAATAAAATAATTTTCTGATAAACAAGGAGATAGAACATTGAAATAAAAGTCGAAATGATACATTTTAGAGCTTAGTGTCAAGGTTTAATAGTGTCAAAGTGTAATTGTGAATGCTACTCAAGGCATAAATAATCTAAACATTATTTCTTTCTGTTTTAATTATGTGCCATTATTTTTCTCCTTCAAGCAGACAAAACCTAACTTCTGACTATGATACGTCGTCTTTAAATAAAATCCCTTTTAAGTACCTTTCATCCTACTTTTTCTTCACTTTACTTAAAGCATGGCCCGTTAAGATCGACACAATCACTAGTTTGCTTCAGATTTGTTGACACTTTCTCAACGATATCTAGTTTGCTTCAGATTTGTTCCAGAACCATATCACACTAGTCAAATTACTGATCAATTTCTCTTATCTGGAGAAATTAAAAAGAGCTGAATAGGAACATCATTTAATTTTGAATTTCATGTACTTTTGGTTAATTGGCTTTGTAAGTATTACTTTGGTTTACTTTTTTTCCAGAGAAATACAAGTGATCCCAGCGCTCTAAAAGCCTCTGGACAAGACCTTGAAGGCAGATCTAGATTTGCAAAACTTGGAATGTCAACAAACGATGTGTTAAATCAGGCTTACAGAGATATACTAGAATTGGAGATCCCTCCTTCTGATATTGAAAACAAAGTGAATTCATCACCAAACAAAAAGAAAATGAATCTGAACCAAGATCAAGAAGATCTTCTGAAAAAAGCAAAACATTCTGGATATAAAGTGTTTGATATTTCATTAACATACAAGTTGATAAGAAACATTTGTTCAACGATCCCTAAACCAACAAAAGGAAAATGGGGAGAAAACAGCATGCCTGCAGCAGGAGACATAACAGTAGGTGATGACATCGAGAGAATTAGGTTAATCCGAAATAGTTTGACTGCACATGTGAGTTCAGCCTCCACTACTCAGACAGAATTTGATGACACCTGGTCGACGATGTCAGATATCTGTCAAAGACTAGAAACCTTCACTGGAAAAAAGTACTTGGCTAGTCTTAAACACATTCATAAACTGAGTTTGAAAGAGGAAGGTGAAGATGCAATAAAAGCTATTATAGAAAAGTTTGTCAAGGATCAACATGAACAATTGAAAACAGTCGTGTCAGATGTTCAAGAATTAAAGTCGAATGTGCAACAAGTCATGTCTGATATGAGGACATTTAAACGAAATTGAAAAGACTGGAGGCAACTGTTCCGAAATAACAATTTTTACTCATAGAACATTTGAGGCAATAGTAAAGAATTAATTCTATTACACCTGCCTTAGGCTGCATAAGCATCATCAATATACCAAAGACTGCGTCCAGAACAAGAAAATGTCCTGCTAGATGCATTCGGGATATAAGAATTTTGACATTTCTTTAATATACACACTAATAAGAAATTTGTTCAAAGACTCTTAAACCAACAAAAGGAAAATTTGGAGAAAACAGCATGCCTGCAGCAGGGGAGATAACAGTAAGCGATGACATCGAGAGAATTAGGTTACTTTGAAATAGATTGATTGCACATGTAAATTCAGCCTCCACCCCTCAGACAGAATTTGATGAGTTCAATAATGAACTCCTTGATAAATATTGGAGTTAACAAACACGGTATGAACCTCCTTTTAAGTTCCAAACTATGGAATACTGTTGTTGTACCAGTCGTTTTTTATGGCTGCGAGATGTAAACAATCATTTCAAAGAAATCAACAGAGAATCTTGAAATATTACAGATTTGCAGCACATAGGATTCAAGGATTCAATCGAAAATCTCCATCACCATGCACTATATACTCGTTGGGACTCATAAAAATGGAAAGTTTATTCAGAAGAACCAGTTATTCCTCTGGAATCGTCTTTGTAGACCTAGCTATACATTGTTTTCTAAGCATCTATTCATTGCAAGGTTGTGTTCTTTCTCTGATAATACACTTTAAAAGAAACGCGTATTTAAAGACTGTATTTATAAGATAATGAAAAGTTACAATATAGAGTACTTCTTCAGCGAGCACCTCATAGAGAAACACCGTCAAAACTTAGTTGGAATCGGTACATCAGCAAGTCTTATAAACCTTTCTTCTTTCTTATGATGAATGGAGAATCTTACTTGGAGGCCAACCAGAACTAAACTGTTTCTCGGAAATACATCAAGAACTTACACCCCATCCACTTTGGACACTTAGCCTCCAGCACCCAGTATTTACTCGGAAACTATTCGAACTCATAAATCTTTCAATTACGTATGAGACGGAAGAAGTATTCTGCAAATTGTGCCAAAAATGTACACAGGATATCGTATTATATTTTATCTTGGACTCTCTAAGTCTGTTTAAAGGCCTTGAACATCTTATAACCCTGATTGTTAACTGCCTACCAGTGAACATATATGTCGATCTCACGCACAAGTCCGAGACTATTATGGTGAATAATCTTCTTGGGTCTAGAAAAGATGGAATAATCCAAGAAGAGGAATGGATCACCTTTATATTGTCGATTTCTACCGGCATTAATCAGTGCTGAAGAACATGAGAAATCATTTATAGTTAAAGATAAAAACTCTTTGAAATTTAGTTGTGAAACAAAATTGTGAACGTTTTTTTCTTCGCTGCACTTGTACATATATTATTAACTTATGCACTGTAGACGTTAAATGTTTTTTTTTAATATGATAGAACCAATCTCTATACTGTAGAGGAAATACAGAATGTCTGTCTGTCTGTCTATATTATTACTCATAGAACTTTGTGAGGAATATAAATGTGAACTTGAAACTGTATTGAAATTGGATTTAAATCACTCAGATTTTATATACAGGAATTTGATATCTAGACTCGATATTTTTCAAGGTGTAAAACAATGAGTTGGATGATATTTGAATCACAGTTTTGGGGGCCGTTGTTTCTAGACAGTTTCTTATAATATTTTTGTAAATAATTCAAAATATTCGTATATTGCAACTATTTAGATACATTCGACACTTCTTGCCAACTATATGTTTGCTAAACTGAATGTTTATAGTGTTGAATCAATACGAATATTTGCTGAATTGATTTCAAAATATTGAAGTGTGAATTTGTAATTTATTAATAAATTAGTAATTAATTGTAATTTTTTTATTGCTATCCGTTTTTGTCCGTCGGCGAGCGTCGTCGGTCGTGCGTTAACATTTGAATATTTTCAGCTTCTTCTATGGTACTACTGCATCGATCAACTTCAACCAATTTTGGTATTTAGCATCAATAGGTGAAAGGGAGTTAAAGTTGTGAAATCCATGTGACACAGTGTCAGAATTTTCATTAATTGGACTTTGAGCATGTTCTATGTTTTCACATTCCATTCTATTTCTACTTGTACTCCAGCATGATGGGTACTCCGGCGAGATGAGTACAGTCCACTAATTGTTTTCCCATAGGCGGCAATGTTAACATTTCTTCACATAGCAATCTCCCTAATTTTCGTTCAGCAGTGAGTGACACCTCAAATCAAAGCACATCAAGTTGTCTTTCCTTGGTTAAAATGTCGAGGTGGCGTGTCAGCTTCGTTTTCCGGCAAAATGCGTCTGTCTGCGTTAACCTCTGAAAATGAAAGTGAAAGTAGGGGAATTCCAGACTTCTCACTGGTGTTATAATACACAAGTAGACTGGCTTGCCTGTCTGATATGCGCGATATACAGACAGGTGACCAGTAATGTAAAGAGCCCTCTGCTGGCCGCGCTCATTGGCTGATAAAAACTCTCGCCTACGTAGAAATTTAAATGTGTCGGGGAAACCAAAACACATCACAGAGTGCAGAGATATCGGCCATTTATCTTTTCCCTTAAATTCTCCATGCGTACAAAAGCTGCATTGGAAAAAATAAACCGTGAGGGATGTTTTGAAACAAATCATAAAAGTATTGACACTAGTTATAGAGATTGTTCTATCTGACGTATCCGTATACGTATCCGTATACGTATCGAGGTATGAGAGGCATCTCGATCCCGATGATTTAACCGTTGGGTAACATTTCCATCGTTTCTTGTTTGATTTCATGTTTGATTTTATCCTCATTCATTTCAAAATAAGATATATAGTAATATTTCTAATAAAACATATCAAGTTGCTGTTGACACCTATCATTTTATGGAAGGTTTAAAAAAACTAAAATTAGTAAAAAAAAAAAAAAGTATGTATATTTTTATTAAATTTTTTAAAAATAAAAAAAGTTAAAAAGGGACCCCCCCTCTCTCTCTCACACACACAATATCAGAATATATTATTGTTTCACTCTCGAAGTAACCTTTACCAACACAAGACATATTCCCCATAATGCATACTGTCAGCGCTCGTTATCTCAAACTTGATTGGACCAATTAAAACTTCGATATATCCAAGAATTTGAGTTAACAAAGTTTAACTGTACGAGGTGTCAGAGATCAAACATTCTAGATGAGTATAAGTTTGTCTACATCAAGCAGACACTTAAAATTGATTAACAAAGTGGAGAAGGGGGAAGCTGGGCCGAGGCAGGGAGAAACCAAAAAATGACAAGTCACCTTAGCAAAACTTTGACAATAAAAAGGTGTAGAAATTAATCAAAATCTAAAAAAAAAAAACCTATTACGGGGTATGTGTGTGTGTGTTGGGGGGGGGGGGGGTTATGGATATTAAGTTTTGAGTTCCTCTCTTCCACAAAAATAATTACGGATACATTAACTGTGAAAGATTAATTTGACCATACTGCATACTCTGTGTGTATGTTTGTGTGTGTTGGGGGGGGGGGGGTCACTGAAAATTTCCATCCTCATTTTTTTTTTATCATTATCAACATTCTGTATATCATTTGATTATATTTGATGGACATAGTTCTCCAGAAAAGCTTTGGAAAGCTGGCAATTCTGGGGTGGTTTGAAGAATCTGAACTCTCTAAATTGTTAGGTGATAGCCCTATCCGAAATTCCAAAGAGCTTGAGAGAGGACTACCATTTCCGAAAGTGATACAGTTACACGCAGTTTTTGTCGGGGATGAATAACAATAGTCGACAAAAGGAGATAAACGAAGAACAATGTTTATGTCTTATACATTACTTTATATACATGTTTGACTAAAGTTTACTTAATGATTTATTTATGGAAATTAAGATGACTGTATTTCTTTGTGTACAAGCGGGATCAAAACTCTGAAAAAAAAATGCTGATATTTTATCAATTAAATGTTTTGTATAAATTTTATCCTTTATTCTGTTTTTTATTTCTCTGCTACGTTGAAGCAGCCTCTTCTCTTCAGTTCTATAAACTGCGTGTTGAATTGACTCACACTTGTCCCGATCTGGGCCAAAATACATAAATAAATAAATAAAAATAAAATAAATAAAATAAAAATCAGCTGGATGGACAAGGTAGCATAAAAGAAATAGATATGTCTATTTTTTTGGCATTTTTTAGCCTAATCTTCTTTTCTTTCTTATAAAAAGAGAGTTAAGATAATGAATACCCTATTCTGAAACAGTTCCTATATCAAACAATGAATTATAATACACATGTACGACAACAAGAGAACTAAATGGAAAAATCAAATTTAACAATTGCATTTTCATTTCTTTGCCTATTTTTTGTCGCCATGAAGTCTTTTCAAGTTAATACTGCTGAAAGGTCAAAATATAAAGCAAAATCAAGCCGTATGAGAATAGGCACGAAAGTAGCAATTTCTACTGGGGAGGGGAATGGGAGACATACAGGTATTTGTCAAATAGTTCATTGAAAAAAAAGAATGAAGAAAGTCAACCGACGCTATGAAAGTTTGTGTGTGTTCCCGGGGGGGGGGGGGGGGGGGCAGGCATTTTTTAGCATATACTGGTAAGGGTCTAGAAGCGGCTTCACGGTTTTATTGATTGTGTGGATATCAACGTCTTTTGCATTTTAGTGTGTGTGTGAGTGGGGGGGGGGGGGTAACTTTAATTTTATGTCATCTAATGTAAATTACAGAATCAATCAATAAAATATCCTGATGTTAGGATGGAGAGAGGGGGGTCCCGATAAATGTTTTTAAACAAAGTTGCAATTAAAGTTTTAAACAATATAATGAAAACAAATACAAATTTATTTGATTTCATTATCTTTTTTTTTAAATTTTCCAGTGATAGACGTTTACAGCAGCTTAATACATTTTTTATTAGAAAAAAAAATACCATATGCTATTCTTAAATGAATGG